ATGAACAGCTCCATGCTGACAGGCTATTATAGCTGCAGGTGATTTATATGCTGTACTCTTAGCTACTGTGCTGCTATTAAAGCTTGTTAGAAAGACGGCTGCATGCTGCCTTACCTTACTGTCTTACCATCCATACACTCCAGCAATCCCGCCTCCCCTGGCTGCAGCAGAAGAGGGGTGCAGGTAACCCGCCCTGTCTTTTTGTAGTTCTGTCACTAGCTTGTTCCCCTGTTCACTGGGCTAGATGTGGATCGTGGGTGCTGGGAAAGAACGGAGGGTGGCCTTGAAGAAAAGGCTTGGAGGGGGAATCTGAGGCCCCTATCACCAGTGTGGCCTTTAGGTTCGGGAAGAACCTGGCCCAGCCCTCCCTACACGCAAGATGACGATGCAGGGAGAGGATGCTGGGTAATGTGGTTGTCTGTGGTCTCGCGGGCTGGGACTCTTCTGCTGCCTTTATTTTAAGGAAATTCCTTCTGCAGGGATTAGAACAGGGCACCCCATTACCCTCCCCCCTTACCCACGCCCCAGACGTGGAGATCTGAAACCCCATGCCAACTGCCAACTCGTTGTAGCCATGGTGGGCACCTTCCTCTCCATTTGGCAAGTTGGTTGGAAACAAGATGCAACCATGACTAGGTTGCAATCAGTGGGTGGAGGGGAGTGAGGTATTTTCCATCCAAACTGTACTGGTGGAACTTAACCTAAAACCATTGGAATCTGGATTCTTCATGGCCTGCCTCCTTCCACCCTGCTCCCTTTTAGGGCACATGTATGTTCTGGCTGTGCTAGGCAGCCTACACAGACGACAGGGTTTTCCATCTGTGTAGGAACACCACCTCCCCGAAGGGCAGTAGCTGTGTTCACAGAAGCGTTCTTCCAGCAACAAGCTGCATCTCCAGTGGAGGTTAGGACAGCATACCAACAGTGGTGTGGTTTTTTCATCTCTCTTTTTGACATAACTTTGTCAACCTAACTTTTAAGTGTAGACCAAGCCTTAGACAATACAGCTTTACTTTGTGTCTCGTCTTTTGTCCCAGCTATCTCTCTAAACCAGGCATGCACAGCTTGTAAAGCGCCGAGGGCCATATTACTCCAAAGAAAACAACTGAGGGCCGAAACCCCCCGAGTGCCGCCAACCCAGCGCCACCCAGCCCCCCCCCCCAAACACAACACACTCACCCCCAGCACCGCCTGACCCACGGAAACAACCCCCCCCAGCGCCTCCGAAACACCCCCCTCTCTCCCCCAGTGACACCTGCCCCGTGGAAACAAACCCTCCTTCCCCAGCGCCACCCCACTGAAACAGCAGTATTGAACCTCGGTAATATGTTATAGCAGGCCCCTAAGGTAGTATAATGAAGGTAAAAGAAAAATGTCTTTTTTCGAGAAGTAGAATAAGATCTTCCCCCCCCACTTTGTAATCAGTTGCCCTGTGGAATGAATGAGGTGTGAATGTGGAAGGCAGGCAGCTCCAGACAGCTGCAACCCTTGGAGAGGATAGGGCCAGCTCTAGGATTTTTGCCGCCCCAAGCAAAGAAATTTTTGGCCACCTCCCCTTTCTTTTTCGTGCCCCTCCGGCCCCACCCCAACTCCACCCCTTCCCCAAATCCCCAGCACTGCCTCCTCCCCTGGTGTGCCGCATTTCTCCTCCCCCCACACCCCCATTGCTTCCTGCAGGCCCCCTGTGACCTCGCGCCCTAGCTCACCTCCGCTCCACCTGCTCCCCTGGGCGTGCCACCGCTCCACTTCTCCCCCTCCCCGGCGAGAGAGGGCGGAGCAACGGCGTGTTCAGGGGAGCAGGCGGAGCGGAGGTGAGCTAGGGTGGGGGGCCGCAGGAAGTAATGGGGGGGGGTAGAGGAACCACTCCCCGCTCCAGCTCACCTGCACTCCACCGCCTCCCCAGAGCGCCTGCTGCTCGGCTTCTCCTCCCTCCCAGCCTTGCTGCGTGAAATAGCAGTTTCGCGTGTGGCAAGCCGAGGAGGGAGAAGCGGAGCGGCAGCGGCACGCTCAGGGGAGCAGGCGGAAGCGAGCTGGGGCAGCAAGGGCACTTTTTCCCCTTGCCCCGGAGTCGGCACCTATGATGGCCAGCGCCAGAATGCCGCCCCTAGAAATGTGCCGCCCCAAGCACCTGCTTGTTTTGCTGGTTCCTGGAGCCGGCCCTGGGAGAGGGGATGGGAGCCAGACCAGATCAGTAGAACAGGTCAGCCACCGACTCACCACTCGCCTCCTCAGCCCCCCTCCCCCGGCTCGCTTACAGCCGCTCCCCCCCCACCACTCCCTGCTCACTCGCCTCCTCAGCCCCCCACCCCTGTTTCACCTGCCCCCCCGCCACTGCCCACCCGCTCACCTCCTCAGCCCCCCACCCCTCCTGACTCGCCTACTTACCCCCTGCCACTGCCCGCCTATTCACCCCCCCACACCTGCCGCTTGCCTACTCACCCCCCTTCGGGCCACACAGTGAGCCCATCTACTCAACTCTCACTGGCCGCACAGTGAGCCCATGCGGGCCGCACGTTGTGCAGGCCTGCTCTAAACACACTATAGTGTTATCTAATAAACAATGGTACAGGGAGAGAGACAGGATCAGCACTGGCCTTACCATAGCGTTCATAGGC